CACTGTTCATTTTAACAAGAATATGTCTCACCAAGAACTCTTTCTTTGACTAGTGAACGAACAACAGAAATGGTTGTTAAAAAGAAACATAACTTAACACACTCTTATACAGTACAACCTGTTACATCAGCTGATGGCCATTTATTAGGAAAATTCTTTCTCATCCTTCAAGAGAAAGAAAAGGAATTCGGTAAAAGAGTGCAGAAAAAGATTTAATTGTACTGTCAAATGTTGTAGTAAGAGTTTCAAAATCAGGAAAAAACAGTGATGAAAAACATCACACTTTTTTAAATGAAGTTCTGCATCCTTTGGTTGGTAATAAATTTCTTCTTTTTTTTGATTCTCGGAAAACCCAAGCTGATCTAACAAAATTTAGAGCAGTATTTCCTAACCAAGACAGTTAATTATTGATTTTTCCTAAAGGATCAACCGGTTATATTCGATCATAAGATCTTTCTTTATTTCACTCATGGCGATTTATTCATGAAAAAATTGAACATTATGTTCATATCAATCAAACAGAAATAACTATAAATGATTGCCAATATTTCATCAACATCCATTCTATTATTCATAATCAATCATCAGCTTCACAATTTAAAAATCTCATCAAGAATGGATTTATACCAGCTCCAATAATAAATGAAACAATTGGATAGATTGAAAAACCAACAGATGTTTGCTTCTAATTTTATGATCTGTACTGTTCAATTAACAATTGCAATGAACGAACACTATTAAAGTGTGCTTGATGTGAAAAAAACTCTTTGTTACTATCATTTAATTGAAAGTCTACATCAACATTTATAGTAAATTTGATAAAATAACATATTATGCGATCTATTGTTTTCAGTTGAAATATAATCGAAACTCTTGATGATTTAAAGATTTTGATAAATGCTCACTGATATTTATCTACAGTGATACTACTTAATTTCTAGGAGACATCAAAACTAATTTGATCTTAATTTGTAATATAGATAAATCTCAGACAGATTCTCGAAACCTACCATTAAAATGCTCAGTTAATTGCATAAAAAATTAATGTAAATAATCCTAAAGTTCCTATATACCCAACCATCAGTACCGTAAAAATTGAATATCTGCTGCTAGACAAGCCAATGGTCGCTAATATTTTAACCTTGTTAGTTTAGCAGTGAAAGCTTTCGTTTGGCGCCAAAATATCAAGTGTAGCTCGGTCACAATACAAATGCCTCCATTGTAAGTACCTCGTTAATAATCTACGCTTATATTCAAGTAATTACATGTCGGCAATTCTCGTTGGTTTATATTAATGATATCGTGGTGTGTTCGCGTTCATTTGAAAAACATCTCAATCATCTTACACAAGTATTATCTGCTTTATCCAAACATAATTTTCAACTTAAGCCGGTCAAATGTAGTATTTTTCATCAACAAATTGATTATTTATCTCATACGATATCTGAACATGGTGTTAAGCCAACCAGTGAAAAAATTCAAGCAATTATTAAATTACGACAACCTACTAAATTAGCTGAAACAAATAAATTTCTCGGTGCTCTTTCGTGGTATCATAAATTTATACCCAAATTTGCAACCATTGCTGCACCTATTCATGCTGTAAAAATCTTAATAAAAACAAATAGACACAAATTCGAATGGGGTGCTTCTCAATCTCAAGCGTTTTCACAATTGAAGCAATTATTAATTACTTCCCCATTATTTCTTGATTTTCCAGATGATAATTATCCTGTTATATTAACAATGGATGCATCAGAAATTGGTACTGGTGGTACATTACAACAAAATATTAATGGTAAAATACAAAATTTATATGATCATTATCAAGTTATATCTTCTACTCAACGACGATATGATCCTATTGAATTAGAAGCTTTAGCCATATGGTTATGTTTTCGACGAATGCGATCTTATCTACTTGGTAGATCTATTTAATTTATACCAATCATTGTCCTCTATGCAAAATAATGAACTCATCGGTGAAAAATCGATGAGTGGATCGAATTTCTATTTTATTGCAAGAATATAATATCGAAAAAATTATTCATATTAAAGGTTAACATAATTATTTAACTGATTATTTATCTCGTCATCTAATACAAAATGATGAAGAAATATTTGATGAAGGTTATGACATAAGCATGTTATTTCAGTGGGAACCACCGGAGACGGTACATGCTCCTGTCAATCATCCTCCATTTATTGGTGCTGTTGTTACACGTTCAAAAATGAAACAGATAAAACAACAACAAAATGAAAATGACAAAATGACACCACCCACTGTAAATGATATATCATCGTCATCAAGTAAACACAAAATTGAACATTCAAATCAATCTCCATCACACTTAATTACGTCTAACAATTTTGATATAACTCAAATTAAACTTGAACAGTCAAAAGATTCAAATATTCAGAAGAAGATTAAAGAAGTTATGCAAGATCTAACAAAACATCTTTATGAAGTTACAGACGGTTTATTATATAAATTGGTATCAATGAATGTTGCTAATAATAATACGAAGAAAGTAATTTATTTACCTTCAGCCATGATCAATTCCCTCCTGCACTCATACCATAATGATCCGCTTAGTGGTCATTTTGGCATTCAGTGAACAGATTTAAAAAATTAAAAAATAAATTCTGGTGGCCAAATATGAAACAATCAATTATTCAACATATTCAATCTTGTTTACCTTGTCAACAACATAATAATAGTCGTACAAAAAAACTAGGTCGACTTAATCCAATTCCAACTACAGAGGGACCATTTCAATTAATAGGTATTGATTATTGTGGTCCGTTCAAACCAACACCTCATGGTAATTAATATATGTTATGCGTTACTGATTATTTTACAAGATGGATAACTGCAATAGCTTTACCTGATTGTTCAGCACAAACCACGGCTCCAGCATTATTTAATAATTATATTTGTCAATATGGTGTACCATACCATTAGCTATATTATCTGATCAAGGTACTCATTTTAAAAATCAACTTATTGAATCCATAGCAGAATTAATTGGTTACAATCATATTTTTTCAAGTATTTATCACCCACAAAGTAATGAGATGATTGAACGTTTTAATGCGACATTCGTTCCTCAAATTGTTAAACTTCAAGCTCTAGAAAATAACAATTGTGATGAATTCTTATCACCAGTGATATTTGCTGACAACATTGGCATTCATGCAACGACTAATTATTCACCATTTCAACTACAGTTCGGTCGAAAACCACGTTTACCTACTAATGAACCTTCATCATCATTTACTTTCAATAAACCAAATGATTATTATGTACAACTGAAAAAAAATCTGTTGATAATACAACAACACGTACGTGATAATATTAT